GTCCATGTCGTTGGCTGAAGGCAATTCAAGCAGTGGTGGCTCCCCAGAGTACGACGACAGCAAGAAAGGAACCCTAAAAGTTTTGTATTCGTGGCATGGACGAGAGGCACTTGAGCGTGTGCCTTGTGGATTTCTTTTCAGGCCTCTGTTCGGATGTGAATGGTGGGACGGTGTCATATACAACGTAATATGTGCGAACACCATGGTTAATGGACTATACCCCATCGCTTTAAGTGAGCTTATGCGGGAAACACCTCCACAACATTTTTCTCATTATGAAGAAAAGGGCCATGGAAATAAGTTAAGACCCAAGTCCAAAATGAGTTCTATTGGGCTGCTGACTTTTTTTTCATAATAAGTTGCTAGAAGCCTCAAAAGAACTGGCCCTTTAGTTTTTCATGGTAGAATCCTCGTGGCTAGTAGCAACCTCTCGGTGAACACGAATGGATTTAGTAGCACAATGTTTTTTTGACAGAAAGACTATAAGGGAACCCCTACAGTATAATTAGTGCAACAAACCCAAATTACAAGTATCACGCCTTTAACCTGGGTGGGTGGGAAGGCATCTGCCCCTTCCCACCGCTAGGCTATGCCTTAGTCTGCTTAGTAGCACAATATATGTGTGCAATAGATAAAAAAAACTAAATGTTAACAGTTTCTATTTGACATTGATAAACAAATCATTTGCTAAAAAAATGATAAACAAAGCAAACGACACCGAACATTGTTGACATGGCACTGATAAACAGAGCATTCGTGATCTCCATTAATTTTGACGCCATCCTCGATATTGTCAAATAATAGTTTGATGTTGCTATGAAGAGAAATAGTCGTACAACATTTGTCTGTGTCAAGGTATCCAAGTTGCGGGTTTCTGGTTTTTTACCTGAAAAAAAAGACCCTCTTAGTCGGCATTCGTTCGCTGCGGAGGGTGACAACCGAGAACGTTTTTCATGGCAGTTTCAGCTGGAGGGATGACAGTTTCTTCAGACTAGCATCGCAATGTGTGGCAGAGGGGGCAAGTTTTTGAAAAACTGCCATGAGAGCAAACGGTTGCGAATGCGTTCGCTGGCAATTTCTTCCCAGTGAACGTTGGTCAGTTAGTATAGTAGCATTTAAAAGAAAAATCTTTACGTTTCCGGCGGCCTGAAAAGGCTTCTGGGCACTTGTGCGAATCCGGGGGCAGACCGCGAGCAGGGGACGCGCCAAGCTCAACGGCCCAATGAAGCCAAGACACACCGCCCGACCGCCCGACCGGACGCGGGCGGGAGCTGACGAACCCACGGCGGGAGCCACGGGCTGAAAGCCACCGCGCCTCGCCCCATCTCTATCTATCCATCTCGTGCCGTCCACATCCAAAAGCTATAGCGGCGCCGGCCACGCATATATACACGGTGGGTGATGCACCGATGTGGTCGATCCAGGCAGCGATCGCTAGGCACCAAGCCGGTCTCACCGCGAGCGAGCTCGTCGTCATGGAGGAGAGCACTGGTCAGGCCGCGGCGGCGGCCAGCGACGCGGCGCCTGGGGCCGGAGGCGCGGAGGCCGCGGGCGGGATGAAGGTGGTGGTGGCGGTGGACGCGAGCGAGGAGAGCCTGCACGCGCTGTCGTGGGCGCTCGACAACGTCGTCCGCCTCCACCCCGGCGCGTCCGTCGCCGTCGTCCACGCCCAGCACAGCGTCGACCACTTCGTCTACCCCGTCGCCGCCCACGGTAAGCGATTAATCTCGCCGCGCGCTGACTGATCGACCCGTGCCCGCGCGCGGCTCTGAAGGCTGACACACCTGGTGCGTGCCGAAGCAGGCCTGGCCTACGCCCCGCCGACGGCGTTGGACTCCATGCGGAGGGCGCAGGAGGAGAACTCCCGGAGGGCGGTGGCCCGCGCGCTGGACGTGTGCAGGCAGAAGCAGGCGAGCGCCACGGCGGCGGTGGTGGAGGGCGACCCCAAGGAGGCCATCTGCGAGGCCGTGGAGGAGATGCGCGCCGACCTGCTCGTCCTCGGCAGCCGCGGCCTCGGCATGGTCAAGAGGTACGTACGCGCCCACCGCCATGGCCTTCCACATCGAGCTACCACTAGTGACCGGTTCTCTCACGTGAGCGTCTGTGCTAAAATCAATCGTGTTTGTGACTCTGTGCAGGGCGTTGCTGGGCAGCGTGAGCGACTACCTCGCCCATCACGCGTGCTGCCCCGTCCTCATCGTCAAGCCGCCCAACAAGGCGCACCACAAGTGAAGTGAAAGAAGCTCTACACAGGCTACGTCGTTTTTGGGTCGTTTGTCAACTAGTACTAGTAGCACTGGCAGCTTCAGTGCCCCGTAAAGGCACCTGCCTTTGGGTCCCTGACATGTCGGCCCACATGTCATAGGCACAAAGGCAAGTGCTTCCAATAAAGATATAGTGATGCAGCTCCCGTGTAGCCGTGTAGTATGTTCGGTAGGCAAGCATCCCCGTTATATCATGTGTAACATGTTCAGAAGTTCAATCTCAATCATGAAGTTCTCCCAGGAATGTGGTAACGTTGTGACGAACCCTAGTGCCCCTTCAAGGCCATGGGGGATCAAACACAGGTAGGTTACATTTGCGAAGAATCTGGTTCGCCTAATACATGAGAGTAACTGACACAGATGTATCAAACAAAAAACATTACGTGCTAAATTCGTGTTTACCAGACCGAAAGATGCATCATACGAGAGCATCCATACCATAGGATGAACAATCGCTGTCACATTTCCACAAGCACCATGGGCAACCTCATCAGAAGGCTAAATGGGGGCGCCATCGCTCTGATCCCAGCCACCAAGTCTGTCTACCGGGTCATAATTCGTGAACAGCCGGAACACATTCCCCAGTTTGTTCGAGTGCTGAGGCTTGAAACCGCAGGGGCGCACGTTTAGGAGCTCCAGCGCGCGGTCCTTCTGAACTTCGCCTGGCAGAAGAAGTTTAAATCATATGCATTAGAGAACAAACAAATTATTCTATTTTTGCGGGTGACAAACAAATTATTCGGAAAGACAGATTTCAGTACATATTGATCTCACAAAAAAAACACTAGTTATGTTCTCAGCAAAGTTACAATCACGCTTACGAGGCATCACGGGTTCTTAAATTGTAAACTAGTGAGCATTGCACATTCTGATGCTAATCACACATAAGTATTACAATTGCATACAATTTTTAAGAGAGACCATTCACATACAAGAAGAGGCACATCATGTATGGTTTCGGAAGATGCAAATAAACTGCTGAAGTTGTGCTAAATGCCACAGTACTTGCAAGTTGCAACTACACTCGATCTACCGAGATGTAATACCGACTGTTCAAGCTTTTTTCCCCACGAATACACGAAAGCTTTGCGTGTCATTGCATTAACAAAGAGGAGTTTCGCATAGGTTCTGTTACAAAGCAAAGTGGATTTGGTCTGTCGCCAACCACACACCCAACCTACGAACACCTAAGGCACTAGCATGGATTGTTGATAGTAATAGGGGATACCCTAAATCATACTGTTTTCCCTTGATTGCAAAACAAAATCCAACCAGCAAGCACACACAGTCGGCACCCCTTTTACAATGCCATGAATTATCAAACAAGAAGGGATGCATCGGGTTCTAGTTAGATCCAAGACAACGCTGATCCAAGGGTTCGGTTTACTTGAATTGAGTTACCTGTGAGTAACAGCAGGAATGAGCCTTGAGGCCGTGCGAGGAAGGAGACCGTCTTGGCAACCTTCTCCAAGCACTCCTGACTCTGCACCAGCAACGAATCACCACAATTCATCTCCACAATTTAGTCAAATCTGTAACATTCTACTCCAGAGCTAAGCAAATCAAAGGAGCTTGGAGACCATACCAGGTAAGGAGGGTCCGCGACGACGACGCTGAAGGCGTGCTTCATGGCGGGCGGCAGCGCCTCCGGCTGGTTGTAGTCGTAGAAGGCGAAGTCGTCGCCGTACTGCCCGAACCGCTCGTCGTACTCGAGCAGCCGCGCGGGCACATCCGGGCTGCTCTTCCTGAGGTAGGCGTAGAGCGTGGGGCACGCGACGCAGGCCACGGCGGCGCCGCCGGCAGGCAGGCCGGAGGCGAGGCGGGCGACCTCCTCGGCAAGCCCCCGCGCCGTGCCCTCGTCGTACCAGAACTGGCTCAGCCGCCAGTCCTCCGCCACCAGCTCCACCCCTTCTCCTCCCCCCTTTTCCCCTTCGTCCCGCTCCTGCCGTCGCTGCTCCTCCAGGAACTCCCGCAGCGCCCCCGCCGCCGCCGCGCTCAGCTGCGGCCGCTCCTCGTCGTCTTCCTCCTCCTCCTCCCCGGCCTCCCGCCTCTCTCTCCCCTCCTCCTCCGCGCCGCTCGCCATTGTTCTATCCGCTCTCTCGCCGAGCTGGGCAGGAGGCGGCGCACCAGGGAAAACTCACGGTCTCACCGCGCAAACAGTCGTCTCTCACACGAAGAGCCCAAGGGCCGGTTTCTGGGCCTCAGTGGAGGCGGGCCGAGGCTTCTGGGCCTCGGCGGACACGGGCCGAGACGTCGGGGCCCAGTGGAGCGGGAGCAGGGAAAATAAAAGCAGAGAGTGGCAATGGAATCGCAGGGGGGGACTGTGAGGGAAGCGAGGGGGAGGTGGTGCGCCTGCCTGCGCCTCCGTTTCCGGTCGGGCGAGCTGCGAAACCCCAATCGCCTCCGCATCTCCCGTCCTCCCCCCGGCGGCGCCGTCCTCAGCGCGCGCCGCGGCGGCCAGCGAGCCGCCGGGTCGAGGGAGAAGGGCGGCGGTTGCTGCCGCTCTGCGTCGTCCGCTCGCTTCCCGAGGTAGCATTCGCGCGCGCCGGCTCCCGTCCCGCGCGCGGCCACGGCAGATCGACCCGCGAGCTCGCCTTGGCCGCCCCCGCTCCGTGCGCGAGCCGCGGTGAGGAGGCCGCTGACCGGCGCGTGCGTGCGGCGGCGGTTGCTTCTCGTGGAAGCTTCGGGGGGCGCGGCTCGGCCCGATCCGGTTTGGTCTGGGAGCAGGCGGCGGCAATGTCGGCCGCGGGGGAGGACATAGTGCAGCACCTCTCGTCGAATTCCAACCCGTCCTCGTCCAAGCTCGCCAAGCTCGAGGCGCGCATGGCCGGCAAGGCCGTCTCGGTGCCGCCCCCGTCGCCGCCGCACCACCCGGTGGTCGCCCCCGCCTCGGCCCCCACCTTCATGGACCAGGAGGAGCTGCCCGAGTCCTCCTCCTCTTCGGATGATGATGTCAGCCCTAAACCTCGTACTCCCTCTGTTCTTTCTCCCCCCTATTTACTGCTCAAGTATTACACAATGTTTACCTACCTTCGATTACCTTGTTAGAACTATTTGTAATGTCTCTTTCGGTATATTACCTATGTTACCTATGTTGCTACAATCATGCTGGTTACCTAATACCTTTGTTACCTATGTTGATACAATCATGCCCTAAACATTTCTTGCCTGTATATTACCTATGTTGCTACAGTCATGCTGGTTAGAACTATCTGTAATGTCTCTTTCGGTAAACCTGTATTCTAGCTAATTACAGGTTACTACTATTCCCATTCTTAATTTCATTTCATCTAACCTAGACTAATGTTTGCTGTATTTGCTGACCAGAATGGCGAGGAGTTCTTGATACAGAAGAACACACTGAAGCGTCCGAGATCCCCGGATGATGACCATGGCCTAGCTCTTGGAAATTTTGAGGTGTGATCTTCTGACATTAATTGACTAGAATTAAACACAAGACAATTCTATTTTCCACTTGCTTTCCATTCCCTGTAGCATAATTCTGTCTGGTGCATTCTTTCATGCTTGTGAATTCCAGGGATCAGCTAATGCGGCAGCAAAAGTATTAGATGTCATGGACACACGACTCCCTTCGGAAAACCCAAGCAGAAAAAGGCAGGGCCGTGGAAGGGGACGTGGTGGAACAGGACGAGGGCGTGGCTCAAAGACGGTTGATCAAACGCGCCATACTTCGGCTTCTTCAGTAACTGTCTCAAATGGTCAACATGACAAATTAACCAACATGGTATGCTGTGCAATTTTATTCTCAAGATCTTGATCTATCTTCTAGCTTTTAACCTATCAATGGGCAGTGGTGGGTAATGTACTATCTTGCACTTGAATGATCACATCATTTCCTGCGCTCTTCTTGAAGAACTTTTTTAAGGCCATTGATCGGTGCAAGAAATAATTAATAGTGTACAAATTGCTACAGCTTAGTTTGGTATTGATCAAATTATTAGATGTATCAATGATAAAGAGCAACTAGCTTCTTCGATACAGATAAATTCTATCAATTGGAGAATGTTGAAATAGAGCCATTAGATTTTTGCTCAGTTGGGGTGCCGATTGCTGAAATAAGGGCACATCGCACAATAAGCACTTCAAGGAATTGAGTTTTACTAACTGACACAACTTATATTGACAAATAAGGTTCACGTTCAATAACATATTAAAATTCCACAGGGCATCACTTTTTTGTTTGACTATGAATTAGGGCATCACTTCATCACAGGGATCTGGTAATCTTGTAGACTGGAACAGAATTGATTAAATGGCTGCAATCCTTGGCTGTATGATAATCTCCTAAAGGATTGTACATTCCATGATCAAGTGATACAAGGCTTGGTCGATATCGATGCATTTGAGGGCTTCATTTGTTGTAATCTCATACACATGTATATACAATACCAGTACGCTATTTCCTTATCTGCTAAATTATCAGCTTACATGCCATTTACTCCATATACAGGATTCCCGAACAAGTGTTCTACCTGGGAATGATGACAGGACTGCTTTACACGTAAGACTTATTTATTTGCACCATTTTTAATGAGATGTGCACCATCTTGGTCTGCTAATGCTAATGCATCCTTTTATTTTCCTTACATACCATTTCCTGCCTGCTTCCAAATGTGTTTGTGGGCTTAGCTTGTACATACACTTGAAAATACTTCTGAGGGTGTTTGTACATGCACCCACGACCTTTTCTTCAAGAAAAAGTGTCTCTGTTAGTTCAATACTTCCGTTTGAGTCTAGAATCTAGGCATCATAACTAAATAAGCAATATTTCTGATGGCTTTGATATATGCATCCAGGCCCTTTCCTTCAAGGAAAAGTGTTTATGTTTGGTTCAGTACTTCTGTTCGAGTCTAGCACCTAGGCAACTTAACTACATAAAGTAATATGATGTGGTTAAGATATCGTTGTGGAAGCGTGAACAGCTTTGGTGAATGCTGTACTGGACAAGCCATATCTCATAGGGTATCAGTCAATCTGAGATATGAAGTATAGTGTACCATACAAACATGTTCTTGGATACTTTCTTTCCTTTTCAAATTTACAATCTTAAGCACTCCCAATTGAATAGGAAGAATTATCACTGTTACGTGGTAAAGTTGCATTTTTGGAGGAGGAGCTTAACAAATCGCGTCAAGAAGTAACGGAGTATCACCAACTTAGTGATAGGTTAGCTAAGGTAAGGGTATACTCACTGCAAGCTTTCTTTGATCCTGACTTCCCTAGGTCACTGACTTGTTGCCTTTGCATCATTCTTCCAGGAATTGAAGGATTTCAAGGATCAAGATCAACAAAAGAAATCAAAGGTGTCACTTAGAAACCATTATTTATTACCAACCATATGCTTTAGCTACCCTTCATTGTTATTTATACATTGGACCATTTTTGTTCTGAAGGTTTGGAACTTACTACTTAAGCCTATCATTATTGATAAATGAAGGAAACAACTCGCTTCTTGTATCTGCCGAGATCCTGAAATAATAGCCGTTATTATAATTATGTAGCATATATGCTTACGTGTCTGTTCTCATGGATACAGCAAATGAAGGTCCTATCTGATCTGCTCATAGCAGTATCAAAAGCAGAAAGGCAAGAAGCACGGATGAAGTTAAAGCAGGAATCTTTCAGACTCGGGAACATTGGTGTTATGAGGTAATCTCTCAATGATCCGAGTTTCAAACACTTAATGGGGAATAGAGGAAGGATATGTCTAGATTTCCTATTACCTGAAGAATAATACTTTGTATATGGGTCGTTGTTATACTGGCATGTATGCTGTGATATTGTCTTCCAGAAATAGGCCTAGTGGCATGACCTGTCAGTTACTTCATATATCCAGTATGCCTTCTAGTATTGGCAACTTCTCTGCAGTTTGGATGTTTTTTTTTCTCTTCTATTTCCTGTTTTGGGTATGGACCATTTATTGCAACCTTTTCTTTGACTGTTCTCTGTCACATAACTCAGAGCTGGGACTGTCATATCTGAAACATGGGAGGATGGTCAGGCAATAAAGGACCTTAATGCGCATCTTGTGAGTTTCTGCTGCTCCATAGATCTGTTTATTTCAATAGACTATTAGGCATAGTATATTCCATTGTAAAAGCCGATCATAATGTTAAAACTTACTGTGGAACTGTGATCTGGGTGACCTGTCAAGTTGTTGATACCCAACCATTAACAGCTTTACTTCAGAAGGCATACCTGATGCTCTTATTAGACAACTTCTATTTCATTTGTCTTGTTTGCGATTTTGATGACATATTTGCAGGTCACCCAGATCTTGGTTTTTTACCTGATGCTCTTAAGTCATTACCATCCTAGCATCTTATAGGACATCTTGATCTTGTTTAGTTGAGCATCATGTTCAAAAGGGAAACTTTGTTGTTCCTACATTTCATAAGCTTTGTCTATTAAGGCACATTGTGTAACTTGCAGCTCTGGTCTTTTACATGTTTTGCCTCTCATCTATATAATTCCAATTCTTGACATTCACATTAACATACCGTCACTTTGTCGAATTGCTCATGTATGTTGGACCTTTATGTAGAAATCATTGCTGGAAACTAAAGAGGCTGTTGAAAGACATCGTAAATCTCTAAAGAAACGACAATCATCTGGTAAGAGCTACTCTTTAAAAAAAAATTGTGCTATCTCAAATTCTTTATAAGTTGCTGATTGAACTATCTTGTACACTGAATAAGATTTGATGTATGGGTATATAACTTAAGTTCATTACTCCCTCCGTCCCAAAATAAGTGTCAACTTTGTACTAACTTTAGTATAAAGTTGTACTAGAGTTGAGACGCTTATTTTGGGACAGAGGGAATATTTTATATGAGGGAAAGCTCTTTCACATAAGCAAGACATAAACAAACACACATACTAATGTTGCCACTCTTCTACACTCACTGCTTGATGTTCTACTATTGTAGATAAGGGTGATGGAAGTGATGCTGAAACTAGCATGTCCGAGGAAGATTTCCTCTTACAGGACGAGATATGTAAATCTCGGTTAACAAGTATCAAGCGGGTAAGTGGTTTCCTTTACTTGGTTATTAAATACACCCTCTTCCCGTCTTAACCTACTTTCCACAATTGAATTGCAGGAGGAAGAACAGTATCTGCGAGAAAGAGATCGATATGAATTAGAAAAGGGTAGGCTTATACGTGAAATGAAGCGTCTCAGAGATGAGGATGGATCCCGCTTTAATAACTTCCAAATTCTTCACCATCGATATGCTCTGTTAAATCTTCTTGGAAAGGGAGGGTTTAGTGAGGTGTACAAGGTATATTCTTTCTTCAGTTATATATTTTAAAAAACCATTGTTTATCAATAATGCATCTTGAAATACAAATGCATTTTGCGTTAATAAGGTAAAAGAAGCGCTCAACTTTACCATCATTAGTTTAGATTTGTCTATATATATGCTCTTATCAAGAGCTTCATTTTGGGTGGGCAGGGAGTCTGGGATCCTGGCCTATCCAAAATGGGCTTAAAAGGATAAGAAATAAGTATGAAAACCTAGTATTTAAATAGTACTCCCTCTGTTCACACATATAAGATGTTTTGGATATTTTAATATAAACTACATACAACCTGAAATGAATGAACAAACACACTAAAATGCTTCTGTATACATCCGAATCAGAAAAAAGTTAGAACATCTTTTAATAGTGAACGGAGGGAGTAGGTGAGAGAATCTGTATGGAAACAATTGGAGCAACACATCTGGCATTTAAATGTCCTTTGGCTTATGTTACATGGGAAAATCAGTACACCAGGTGCAATGTGGCAGCAGCCAGTGCAAGTGGCTGAGAACTGGATTTAATTTCCAGCTGCTTATCAGGTCCTAGTCTGTAGTTGGTTAGGGAAGGAATAAATTAGGTAGGTTAATTCAATTAGGAAAGGGAAGAATTAGGTGAGTTAAGATGAGTCTGATTCTTTTTAGGAAGTTGTTAGTTGGCCCAGTCTGTGTATCAGGCAATGCTATAAAAGCATGCCAACAATGAGATCTTTCTCTAATCCCTACACTCTTTTCTCTCTCCTCCCTATCCATTGACCTCCTACTGAGCAATTTACTCTACTGAAATCCTACCACGATACCGTCCAAGCCTTGCAAAGGTGCTTTGTACCTTACCACAACTATAACCTTCGTTTTCTGATCCTTGCCTGTGGCAACTTAGGCCCTGTTCGGATCTAAGGGAGGAAAACCAAAGGATTGGGAGGAAATGAGGCAACAGGGTATCAAACACATGAATACATAGACCATGTAGGAACAACGGCGTAGGTGTACGGAATGCAGGAAAATGGAGTACAGGGGATCTAGATAAGTTGGTGCCACCTGATGATTTTTTCTATGGAAAAAAACCAACATGCTGGTTGAGAGTTTAGGTTAATGGGTCCCAGTATGCACAGATCCATCTCATTCTGAACTTGATGTTGGTCCCAACGTGTATGGTTGAGGTGCTCTGCCTCGGGCCAACGCAGAAAAAAAGAGCTGGGAGTGGATTCTTGGTTTTCTTCAAAAGTACAGGCCTAGAAAACTTTACAAAGGATTGGAAATCAGTGATTCGTGTGCTCCAAACGCAGCTACATTGAAAAAACCTGTAGGACATGATTCCTCTCAAGTTTCCTAAACTTTTCACAGGCTCTTATGTTCCTTTTCTGTTGAAAAATGTAAGGTGTTACAAAATAAATGCAGGGTATACCATCTTGTACCAGCTTCAATGTTGTATTAATTTTGTTGCCAGAATATTACCTAGTTTTTTTGGCCTTCCTTTTGTGACGTCATTTCAATGTGTTTTGATATAGCATTCACATCTGTTCTGTAGAAATTTGAGTTTGGTTAGTAGTAACATGCAACTGTTCCTCTGTGCAGGCTTTTGACTTGGTGGAATACAAGTACGTGGCCTGTAAACTTCATGGTTTGAATGCTCAGTGGAGTGAGGAGAAAAAGCAAAGCTACATACGGCATGCGATTCGTGAATATAATATCCATAAGACTCTGGTGCATACAAACATTGTCAGGCTATGGGACATATTCGAGATTGATCACAACACATTCTGCACTGTCCTAGAATATTGCAGCGGTATAATGATTTCTTAAATTTCTTCAACATTTTGACTGTGTAAATTTGGTTCTGTCATTTTTGTTTTGCTTGGAGTCTTACGTCACTCTGATGATGCCCAGTGCCTCATGTTTCCTTCAGTTTTGTAATACGGAAAATGCTACTCCCTCCAATCCATATTACTTGTCTTAGATACAAATCTAAGACAAGTAATATGGATCGGAGGGAGTGTATCTAAGACAAGTAATATGGATTGGAGGGAGTAGTTAGGTTTTGTGCCAGTCATGCATGGTGTAACCCAGATACATCTATCTATGATGAACTCTTACTTCATTAAAATAGTCGCCTGTAGGTGTCCTGGAGTTGACAGTGATATAAATGTTTAAATTTGGGAACTAAAAGGGACATCTAAACCATGGTTTCTTACAGTTACAGTCCACATTGCCATTTATAATCTTGTAACATATGGATCACCCATACCATATTATGAGCTTAAGAGGTATGGAAAACAACTGCCATATTTGATCACTATGTATGAAGCATACATAATGCTATGGCCTATGATGATGCCATGGAATTTAAGCTAGATTATTAGCAATTCTAATGATCTATGGACTGATAGATCATGTCTCATATAGTAGATCAAAGTTTCTTCATTTCTGCTGTTCTCTTCTCGGTAGGCGCACAGTCCATTCTAGTTTTACATAAGTAGTTATTCATAATGATTTTACAACTGAAATCTAAAACTCTCATATTAGGAGGTTGTGGCATCTAATAATGTTATCTCCTTGCTCATCTTTTACCTAGGCAAGGATCTCGATGCAGTCCTTAAAGCAACGCCAATTCTTCCAGAAAAGGAAGCAAGGATCATAATTGTTCAAGTGTTTCAGGGCCTTGTTTATCTTAACAAAAAGGCTCAAAAGATCATCCACTATGACCTCAAACCAGGCAACGTTCTCTTCGACGAAGTTGGTGTTACAAAAGTCACAGACTTTGGCCTCAGCAAGATAGTGGAGGATGACGTTGGGTCTCAGGGAATGGAACTCACTTCGCAGGGAGCTGGAACCTATTGGTGAGCGACCGAGTGCATTCACTTTCAAAGTTGATTTTTACGAGTCCAGATCATATTTCTATGGAATGTTTTAGTTGCCGCCATTGATTTTCTGTACATGTGTACAATTGTATAACCTTCAAAATAAATACTCCTTCCGATCCATATTACTTGTCCCTCAAACAGATGTATCTAGTACGTCTAGATACATCCGTTTGAGCGATAAGTAATATGGAGCGGAGGGAGTACTATTTGTTGCATGCAGTGCAACTGTTCTTGTGTTATCGCTATGTAAGCAGGTTGGATTATATATTTAATTCTTGTTCATTTTATTGTGTCTGCTGCACCAATGTTATTTCTTAATGACAGATATTTCTGTTTTAAAAATTCTTTCTTCCTTTCTGTTTTATTTTTTTCCTTCTCCAGGTATCTGCCACCAGAATGCTTTGATCTCAGCAGAACACCATTTATTTCATCTAAGGTACTGATATTTGCCAGCATGTTTTACCTTCTAATGTAAACAATAGTTGGTTCATCCTATTGTGTTAATCTGGTGATAGTCTATAAAAGATATTCTCTGAGCTGGCAGAATTCGGCGGTCTTCTATATTTGCTTTAAATGTGCCCTCAGCCACCAGGGATATATTTGTTTTAAATATGCCCTCAGCTGCCAGGGATGCATGTTCACCTGCTAAATATTTTAGAACGTTCTTCCTGATGCAAGTGTTTGCATCTTGAGTTTTGGCACAAGAATGGGTGAAAAGTTTGGATCTGGAGTGAGCAAGAGTCCACTAGAGAGAGGGCGCTGCTGGCGTGGCCGATTTGCTCGCAGACAGAGGAGATGCAGAGTGGGGCTGCTGCTGGAGCTTGCCGAAGCTCACTGATTAGGGGGCTGCTGAATCTCCACGCGGCTGCTGGACCGGCGGTAGGGGTGGGGTTGGTTTTTGGGAAAGATAAGGCTGATAGGGGTGAAATGTAGGAACATACAAGGGGAGAGATTGAGCTGGCGGCACCGTACAAGGGAGCTGGGTGGGAGAGAGTGGCTGTGAGTGATGATTTAGAGCTGCTAGGGTTTCTGTTGGGTCATATAGGCCAGGCTGTTGGACCTAATGGGCTGGCTCAGGGATTCCTGTTGATCCAATTGTCACATAAGGTTGGAATTTGATGCCGGGGGTATAATTTTTTGCCGTATCAGTATCATCTATTCTTATTTTCCCTCAACTCCTATTTGTCGCCATGATGGGTGCCATGTCGACATAGGGCCCTGGGCTCGAACTCGACTCAGTGACATGGAATCGTCAGGGGATCCCCGGCCG